AGGGAGAGAGGAGGAGGGGAGGAGGAGAGAGAGAAAAGAAGAGAGAGAGAGGAGGAGAGAGGGTAAGAGGAGGCCAGAGAAAATAAGGAGAGGAAGAAAGAGAGGAGAAGAGGAAAAAAAAAAAGGAAGAGAAAAGGGGAGGGAAAGAGAGAACAGGGAGGAAAAGAGAGGAAAGAAGGAAGAAGGAGGGGAAAGGAGGAAAGAGAGAGGAAAGAGGAAAGAGAGAGAGAAAGAGAAGAGAGAGAGAGAGAGACGAGACCATAAAACCGACAAAAAAAAAAAAAAAAAAAAAAAAAAAAACACTCACACAAGCATTCCGTAATCACCCCCAAAGACGACACGCCCGACGGAGAACAATAACAATAACAATAACAAGAAAACAATAACAAAGAGAAGAACAATACCCACCAGACACGAGGGGAAAGGAGGAGAATTAATATTTATCAACCGCCCAAAACTTTTCCCCCCGGAGAGAGAGAGCCCCCAGCGCAGCCAAGGCCAAACGCCGTGTCGACAGGAACGTGGCTTGTTTTCGCCGGGGAAATGCGCTCTCTTTCTCGCAGTTCGCCGTATTTCGCGTGCAATTATCCGGAAACAACAGGGTGCATCGTGTGGATTGCGTCGGGAGTGTGAGTCGGGGGGTGAGTGGTCGTGTGAGTGTGTGGGTCGGGGTGTTGGGGTCGGGAGTGTGTGAGTCGGGAATGTGTGAGTCGGTACTGTAAGGCGGCACTGTGTAAGTTGGCAGTATGGAAGTTGGCAGTGTAAGTCGGCACTGTGTGAGTCGACACTGTATGAGTCAGCACTGTATAAGCCAGCACTATATAAGTCGGCACTGCTTAAGCCAGCACTGCTTAAGCCAGCACTGTATAAGTCGGCACTGTATAAGTCGGCACTGTTTAAATTGGCACTGCTTAAGCCGGCACTGTATAAATCGGCACTGTATAAGCCAGCACTGTATAAGTCGACACTGCTTAAATCCATTGGATATTTCACGCCTTCACTCATCCTGGCACAAGCGACGGAAACCAAGACGCGGCGAATCATCCAGCGACACTCAGGAACGAAGCTCAAAACAAAAGAAAAAAAGATCTAGGAAAAAAAAATAAGAAAAAGGAAAAAAAATCAACCCTAATGTATAAAGGGGAAAAAAAACAATTCTAATGTATAATACATATCTATCTTTCTATCTCCTTATCTAGATATGTATATATAAGAATTATTATCATCGTTATTATTATTACTATCATCATTATCAATATCATTATAACAATAATAATAATTAGAATACTAATAATGATGATAATAACAATAATGATGATGACGATGATAATAATACTGATAACAACGACAATGACAATAGCAATAATAATAATAATAATAATAATAATAATAATAATAATAATAATAATAATAATAATAATAATAATAATAATAATAATAATAATAATAATAATAACAATAATAATAATAATAATAATAATAATAATAACAATAATAATAATAAATAATAATAATAAAAATGATAAGAAGAAATAATAAAATCACCACCTTCACTACTTTCAAAAAGCAATAATCTAAAAAAAAAATAATAATAATAATAATAATAAAACACAACATCGTCTAAGTCCTTTTAAAATTCTTCACGTTGAGCACGGCAGAGCCAGGTCGGGGCGGGAGAAAGTGTACCGTATGAGTGTTCTCGTTGCGATACCAGTCACGTGACCTAGCATGCACTCACACACACACTCACTCACTCTCTCTCGTTCGCTCTCTTGCTCTCGTTCTCTCTCTTTTTCTCTTTCTCTGTCTCTTTCACTCTTTCTCTCTCTGTCTGTCTGTCTCTCTGTCTCTTTCTCTCTCTCTCTCTCTCTCTCTCTCTCTCTCTCTCTCTTTCTTTCTCTCTCACCCACTCACTCACTCACTTACTCATTCTTCTCTCTCTCGATCGCTCTCTTGCTCTCGATCTTTCTCTTTTTCTCTTTCTCTCTCTCTGTCTCTCTTTCGCACTCTCTCTTCTCTCTCTCTCTCTCTCTCTCTCTCTCTCTCTCTCTCTCTCTCTCCTCTCCTCTCTCTCACACACCACACACACACACACACACACACACACACACACACACACACAACACACACACACACACACACACACACACACACACACACACTGCGGTATCAAGAATACCGATTCGCTCGCTGATAAGAAACGGCACTGGAAGCTTCGGTCGTGACAAGGATGGGAAAAATGGCATGGAGGGAGGAAGGAAGGGGGGGAGGGAGGAGGAAGGAGGGCGATAGGAGGACGGAAGAGGAGGAGGAGGAGAGGAAGGAAGGTAGGAGGAGGAGGAAGGAGGGCGATAGGGAGGACGGAAGAAGAGGAGGAGGGAGGGGGAGGAAGGAGGCGATAGGGAGGACGGAAGAGGAGGAGGGAGGAGGACGGAAGAGGAGGAGGGAGGAAGGAGGGCGAGAGGGAGGGAGGAAGGAGGAGTAAGAGAGGGAGGAAGGAGGAGGGAGGAAGGAGGGCGAGAGCGAGGTGGAAGGAGGAGGAAAGAGGGCAAGAGGGAGGAAGGAGGACGAAAGGGGAGGAAGGAGGAAGGAGGAGTAAGAGAGGAAGGAGGAAGGAGAGAGGGGGAAAAGAAGAGAGAGCTGCGAGGAAAGAAAAAAAGAAGTGAAGAAAAAAACGGAGAGACAAGAGGGAGAAAAGACAAAGAGTAGAGTAGAAAAGCAGATAGAAAATGGAAGGAAGAGGGAGAAGGAGAGAATAAGGGGCAGTGAAACAGACTTGCCTATACAAACAACCTCGCTTTTCATACCTGTTTAATGAAGCTATCTTCTGAATCTCCCTGTCATTTTTTTGTGATTTTTGAACGCGCCAAAATGCAGCCCAAGAAGCCGAAGGAGAGACAGAGGAGAGAAAGAGAGAAAGAAGGAAACATAAAGAAACCAAGAAAGAAAAATGAGAGCCGAAGGAGAGACAGGAGAGGTAGAGAGAGAAAGAAGGAAACATAAAGAAACCAAGAAAGAAAAATGACAGGCCATGGACAGAGACAGAAAGAATGGGACATACCATTATGGACCAAAACAATGGACAAAATAATAATAATGGAAAAAATAAAATTAAAGAACTCGCAACATGCTCTCTGCTCATACCCAACCCCCTCCCTCCTTTACCCTCGCACTTACCCCCTCCCTCTTACAACTCCATACCCACTTCTCACTTGTACCCGGACATTAATCCCCTCCTAATACCCCAATACCCACCACCTCCCCTCCTATACCATAACACCCAACCCCTCATATACCCCAACACCCCAACCCCTACCGTCCTAAACCCCGACCCCTACCCCCTCCCTCCTGAGCCCCAACCCACCCTACCGTCCTATACCCCAACCCCTACCCCCTCACCTCCAATACCCCAACCCCTACCCTCTACCCTCCAATACCCCAACCCCTACCCCCACCCTCTCATACACCCCAACACCCCCACCCCTACCGTCCTAAACCCCAACACCCACACCCTCCCCTCAAACACCCCCCTCCCGCCACCCACCCCTACCGTCCTAAACCCCAACCCCTACCCTCTCCTTGCTATAACCCCACACTCCCCTCTCCCCTCCTAAACCCCAACCCTACCCCCTCCCCTCCCGAGCCCCAACACCCAACCGCGTACCCTCCCATTAGCCCCTCCATCAGACAGCCATTAGCATCTACGACAACGTGCACGAGACCAAAACAAAGTGCGGGGAACAGAATGCAAATCAGTGAAAGAATATTTTAAAAGGATGTGAAGGGCTAAGAAGGGGGGGAGGGGGAGGAGAGGGGGAGGAGGGGGGGGGAAGGAGGTAGGGAGGGGGAAAGGGGGGAAGGGGGGAAGGAGGAGGGGAAGGGGATAGGGGAGGGGGAAAGGGGAAGGGGAAAGGAGGTAGGGGAGGAGTGGAAGGAGGTAGGGGAGGGGGGGAAGGAGGTAGAGGAGGGGGAGGGAAGGAGGTAGGGGGAGGGGGGAAGGAGTAGGGGGAGGGGGAAGGAGGTAGAGGGAGGGGGAAAGGGGAAGGGGGAAGGAGGTAGGGGGAGGGGGGAAGGATGTAGGGGAGGGGAAGGAGGTAGGGAGGAAGGAGGTAGGGGAGGGGGGAAGGAGGTAGAGGAGGGGGGAAAGGGGGAAGG